ATTTTTAAATTCCTCAACATCTAGACTCCTAGTAATAACCACTCTTATTTCTTCCATATCTATCCATGGTTTATGTGCTACTACACACTTAAAATTCACCACCTTGATAATGTGAATTTTTCTTCCGCCTTAAGAAGGCCCTTGTTATTTCTTCCTCCTATTCTTTTCCCCAAGAAGGATGTTTCATTAGTAACAGTTAAATATTGTATCTTTACACCACATAATATGTCTATATGTATATATATACTATATAATCTATTTTTAGTAGGACAGAATATAATTGTATAATAATAGCTAGCACAAATATAGCACTTGCTTTGAGCCAGGCATTCAGTGAAGACGGTACTATTATTAACCCCACATCCAAATGATAAAATTAAGGTCAAAGCATCTAGTAAAGGCCAAACATCTAGTAAATCATTTTCTTGGGAGTAAAACCCAAGTGATTTGGCTCTAGAGTGTGTTCCTCAGCATTATGCTGCATTGGGTATGTTTCAGTATATCATCAGGTTTTCCTACAAAAACCAACCACTTTCTGTTTATTTGGGGGGAAATCAAGGTGAAATGAAGAGCATAGACTTTGAAATTAGAGAGACATTGGGTTCAAATCCTGAATATGATTTTTAATAGCTCCAAACAATGGGAATATTATTCAACTTTCTGAACATCTGTATATTCAGCTGCAAAACAGGGATGGTTATACTTTATAAGGTGGTGGCAAAGATGAAATTAAACTATATAGATCAAGAGATAGAACCTGGCACTGTTTTGCCAATTACCTGAAATATTGCAGACACCTAAGATCAGTGAGGAGAGATGAATTATTCAATAAATTATGTTTGATCAATGTCCTAATCAATTAAGGATTTAAAAAAATCATACTATACCAAAACTTTTAGGTGGATTAAAAATGTCCATATAGTTTTTAAAATACTAGAAGTAAAAGACTAAGACAATGACAAGACCATAAACATAAAAAGGAAAAGAACAATCCATCCACTTAACTAGATAAAAACATAAAATGTTTGTTTATCAAAAGGCAAAATTTTTTAAATTACCTATAAGAGGGAAAGTTATACATGACACACTCAAGAGATAAAAATGTAATGTATTTAATTTGTGATGAGGTCTTTCAAATCCAAAAGGAAAAGACCAACTCCCAATTGAAAATAAAGAAAGCTCATGACTGACTAATTTACAAGAGAAGAAATTAAAATGATTCAGTCAACATATAAAAAGAGGCTCAATGTCAGCTAAAAAAAAAATGTGAATTTAAAAGACCTCTTTTTCATATTTCAGATCACTGAAATTTAAAACCACAAATAATATCCAGTGTTGTAATGACCAGTGGAAAATATTCTTTATCAAGCATCGTTTAGGACAACTGTAAACTGACCTAGCATTTTTGAAAGATGATGTAGAAAAATACACCAGAATTTATCATATGCAACCTCACTTACACAGAAATCCCACTTCTAAGTATTTAGCCCAAGGAATCACAAAATGCTTTATGAACTAAGATTCACATTATGGCAATCTAATAATATAAAAACTAGAAAATAAATTAAATTACCATTAAAATGGCACTTGTTCAATAAATATTTTTATATGTATCTTTTTAAAAAATAAAGTAGAACTCTGCCATGGAAGATGCTCATAGTATATTAAGTAGAGACATAGATGGCTGAACAGTATTTAAATATATATGTTATGATACCATTTATATATGAAGATATGTGCTTCATTATATATCCACAAACAAAACTTACATATTCTTTTTACGTGTCTATTGTTTTAATTTCTAATGATGATACTTAGAAAAATAAATGTACTTCCATTTTGAAAAGTTAATTATGGGGCGCCTGCGTGGCTCAGTTGGTTAGGCGACTGCCTTCGGCTCAGGTCATGATCCTGGAGTCCCGGGATCGAGTCCCGCATCGGGCTCCCTGCTCGGCAGGGAGTCTGCTTCTCCCTCTGACCCTCCTCCCTCTCATGGTCTCTGTCTCTCATTCTCTCTCTCGAATAAATAAATAAAATCTTTAAAAAAAAAAGAAAAGTTAATTATGAATTTAGTTTCTCCCTTGTTTATGTTGGGTTTAAGTGTATATGTACAAATATTTTTAAGAAAAAATTATGAGTTTAAATGTAACTCAGATTCTGAGGAGTTAGTTAATATTTATCTCTTTACTGTTTATGTTTTGATGTTAAAAGTTTATGTTGAAATATTTTAAGAAACTTCAAATACTTTCATTAACCTACTCTATAACTCCTTCCATGGGTGCCTAGGTGGCTCAGTCAGTTAAGCAGCTGACTCTTGATTTGGGCTCAGGTCAATATTTGAGGGTCCTGGGATGGAGCCCTGCATCTGGCTCCATGCTCAGCGTGGAGTCTGCTTGATATTCTCTCTCTCTCCCTCTGTCCCTTTCCCCACTCTCTCTCTCTCTCTCAAATAAATAAATAAATCTTTTTTAAAAATAAAAATAATAATAGTCCTTCCAACCAGAACTGCCATTTTGCTTGTGCTATAACCATACAAAGGAAGAGGCAGAAAATGTTCTAGCTTTTCATATCCTAGAGTTTCTCAATCTCAATCTCTTCAAATTGTAAAGTCTGCTTTGAAATTTTTGACTATATGTGTGCATTTTGTGGTGATTACATATGTGTGTGCTTCTGTATATCTTGTATGTGCAAAAGATGTTAAGAGAGGATATATGAAAAATGCAATACGTAGAGTGCATTTAAAATGAAGCAAATATTTAAGTTTTATCATTTGCAGATAGTAGTATGGATGATAAAAAGGCTTTAATCACATGATCGCAACCACTGTAGGCTCAATGTAAACATCAGCAGCATCGCCTCTAAAGTCAAGTTTATAGGGTAATTACATTTCTGAAATGCAGGATCCAATGTACTGTTAGACTAAAATTCAAATTTTGATCAATGGATTTCAGGCAAAAATTGTTTGTTCTAAGATGTTACAAATTTAAAAATATGCTAATGCTTAGTTTTATACTAAAGCACCGTAAAACTGTGTTTCTCCTAACTGCTTCATTTCTTCTCCAAACTGAAAAGTCAACTCTAAGTGTACAGAAAAAGAAAATATATTCATGGTCTGAAAAAGGGCTAAATCAGTCTAACAGGCATAACACTGAAAACTGAAAAAACATGTTAGATTTTTAGTTTATTGTTATCATTTACTTTTTTGGTTGCATGAAAAGTTTAGAAGTCTTAAAGAAGTATGGAATAGTTATATACTTTTTTCCTATCTTGCTTTTTTAACATTTAATTTCTTTCTGCATTTTCTTCTTCCCATTTGCCTTTTTATTGAGTTTACAAAAGATAAAAGAAGTAAATGAGGGTTTGTAAAATGATTAAATGGGTCAAAGAGGAATGTGTTTCTCTGATTCTTTTATTTTTTTTCTTTCGTTTTCTTGTTTTTAGAGTTAAATCTTATCTTTGAAAGGTAGGAGAACTATTGTTTTATTTTTGTTTTGTTTTATTTTGTTTTTTGAAGGAAGTAGGAGAAAAGGAGAAGCTAACCCTGACTTAGGGAAATAGTTATAAATTTGTGTTGAAGAAGATTCTATTTTACTTCTCTGAATAATCTATTTTGTCTGGGGCATGTACAAACATACATATAGTAATGTGGGGTAAGAAGCCTAAGTATTAGAAAAAAAGAAGAACAAGCTTTCTGTCAGAAATCAGAAAGGTATAAGACCATGGAAATAATCCAGGCTAAATAAAAAGATAAATATCATTCAATGAAAACATGCATATTTTGATATATAATAAGATTTTATATTTCTTGATTTTATGTAGAACCGAAGAATGAGTTTACCCAAAACAAACAAACAAACAAAAACTCATGTTGCAATAGATCTTTTCTCTGGAAATTATTTTTAAGGGTCCAAAACAGCTAACATGTGATTTCCTCACAAATTATATTTTATGAATACCGCTATCCTGAGCTGCCTTAAACACTTTCTGGAACAAGGTGGGGTACTCATAAATAAATTAATTCACTATTTAACTTAGTAAACTTAAATTGCATAGGCCTCTTAAGAGTTCATATTTTTTAAAAAATGTCCTTTACTATTCACTCACACACGTACAAAATGAACTCAATCACTATGTATATATGCTTATTCCCATGGTAAGACCAAACAAATAAGAAGACATCTCAACAGCAAATTGTTTCTTAGGGTTTGATTTTTAAAAGGACTGATTCACCATGACCACAATAAGTATATGTATTTGTAACAGATAACTTAAATTCGGAGTCTTTTTATTTGATATTTATCATAAGTCAAACACATATGCTTAGCAGTGGCACTTGTAGATGGAGGAGAAAATAGTACTTAGTAGAACAGAAGAGTTAAATATTATTTGTTGAAATATCAAAGTATAAGCTAGGAAGGGCATAGCTATGTACCCATGAAAACATCATTTGTTTCTGAGCAACAAAGAAATGATGGAGTGAATCGGTAAGTGGCAAAATAAATAAAGAAACCACGAAATGCCTACAAAAATGCATTCATGAAATGAACTTTCTTCTTGAACAGCAAACTTCTTGAACAGCATTTTTTACACATTTCAGAGCACATCTGCATTTTTTTCCACCACCCCCCAAATGACACTCTGTTATCCTATGTTATTCACTGAAACCAAAAAGCAAACAGAAAATTCAATAGGGTGAATTGCCACAAACTGACCCAGGATGCTTATTACATATTTAGATTCCCAGGTTCCACTTACACTTATTGAACCTTAGTCTCTACAGGAAGTTTCTTGCAAGTGGGCAAGATTTGCAAGCATGCAGTATGTTATAAAAACATGCAATAAGTTGTAAAAATTCACCCATGCTGATTAACGGCCCCCCTTCTAAGAGATGAGAAAAAGAGGGAACAGGTCTGACTCAGTTATGTTTAACTGTTTGGTCCAGTGTAGAATGGGAGAAAATGTTCAAAGTTTCTGTTTTAATGTCCGAATAATGTACTTACTACAGTTTTCAGCTTTCCTATTGTCCCGGATCACTATTCTTTGGTTGATAGTGCTGAAGAGTGTTGTCCAATTAATGGTATGATAATAACAGAGGTTGCTGTTGTCAGTAATATAGATGTTTCCTGCACTGATTTCCTTCAGAGATTGGAATTGTAGAGAAGTGATGCCCTGTTGCTTAAGGATAAGCAAGGAGAGGCCACTAAAGAGAAGGAAGGGAGGAAAATGGAACAATATTTAATATGTATATATTAATAAATATTTTCTGGCACATATTCTTGAAGTAAAATAAGGATGTCACATCTTACTCCAAAATAATGCTAATAGAGCATAAAAAAAGGACTGAGTCAGTAAATTGTGATCTGAATATTATTTCTCTACATGCTATATATACTGAGTTTAAAAAGGAATCATTTGACCCCCTAAAAGAAAATGTTCATTTTTAGAAGTATAAATATTAATGATATCTCCATTTCTGTGTACATATTTACCACTGACATATCCGCTCACTATTTTTCCCACTATCCCCCAAGTCTCGAGTTCTTTAAGGATGAAATTCTGTTTTAAATAATTAGGGGAATCTGGCTGGCTCAGTTGGAGGAGCATGAGGCTCTTGATCCCGGGGTCATGAGTATGAGCCCCACATTGAGTGCAAAGATTACTTAAATAAATAAAACTTTAAAAAGCTAAATAATTCCCAGCGCTCACCATAGCACATACCCTCCCTAATGTCTATCACCCAGCCACCCCAATGAATCATGGAACACTACATCAAAAACTAATGATGTAATGTATGGTGATTAACATAACATAATAAAATAAAATTTTAAAAAAGCTAAATAATTAATAAATGTTTATGGAATGATTATTCATCTACCTAAAGTAAGACAGTAATTCTACTCTATTTAATAAATTTAGACATGCTTTCAGAGGGTAAATATTACAGAGAATGACTACAGATATTTAGCTTTAATTTATACCTCAGAAACCAAAGTGTAACTGTAATAGTTGAAGAATGTATAAGTAAAGATAGGAGACATTAAAATTAAAGAGAAGAATGAAATTAAGCTAAAAGTTAAGAAAAAAATACTCAGAAGGCTTGGACAACTGGGGAAAGCACCTCTAAAAGTTAAATAACAACTATACTGTGGAAACAAATTATCATTCCAAGGAAATTGTTTTTATTTTAACATAGTCTACATTTTGTAATTAAATTCCTTTTCTATTCTCTAAAGAATCATCTGTTTCACACATTTCAATCAACTAATGAACAATATTTTACATTTTGGAGATCAAAGCTGTCCCCTTTTATTTATAAATCTAAATATACTTTGCTGCCAACACTCAGAATTTTTTCCATGTGCTGTGTGTGTGTATATATATATATACACACACAGATATATATATAAATACTCATATATATATATACACACACATATACCTAAATATATACTTATATACATACATATTAAAACTCTATAAAACTCAGTACATGTGTATTCAACTGAGATGTAATTCGTTCTCTGAAATCTGTGTTCCCATATCATAACCATCTTGAGTTTATTACAATGTGAACATAATAATGCTTGACAGATTTTTAACATTTGATGCAATGGATAGTAAAATTTGGTTGCATGTAGAACTTGACACACTGTATCTCTCAACTATGCCTTTTTATTAAGAACTTTTCCCCTTTACAGTTTAAAACCTCTTACAGATATACCTGTTTTAATCACAAAATTCAGTGGACTTTCTGTGAAATATTGTTATGGAATATTTGATGACGATATTGATTTAGGTATCTTTCAAATTTAAGTAGAAAAAATGAAATCTAAATCCTTTATGTAAATCAACTTTTAGCTGTTCATAAATAAGAATCTCATACAGATGAAATCTAAAATAAAATAAAGCAGTGGCTTAATAAATATTAACTCACACATTTTTATTATGTGAATTAAAATATTGATATTAGACTTTTAGTGTGCTTCCGAGCCCTGATTTTTCTGCCCACTGTCAGCCAGCATTTAACGTAGAGCAGTAGACCAAGTCCTGAAATATCAGCCCCATCATGCGTGGTTCAAATGATGGCACCAGAGACAAGAACCTTCTGGTAAAACAGCATTTGTATCCCACACACCTAAGCCATTATCAAGTCATCCCAAGTTAGTTGTTAGTTATGATAACATTATGTTCAAAAACAAAGGTTTGATTTTATGCACTCCATACATGCAAAACACTAAAGCTGCTTTCAGTGAGAGGCAGTTGAAAAATCAAACTGTTTATTCTGCATACTTTACTTATTTATTTATTTTTGTATCCTGCATGCTTTAAAGCACAACCAGCGGTATGTTTCATTGGGCTTACCTTTGGAATAAAAAGTGGAAACCCAATATTTCTTGAATCAGTGAAGCTGAAGCTTTGAGATATGTACACATGACACTAGTCTTGAAATCTGGAAGACCTGCATCTCTGAACATATATACCTACCTATAGAGTACTCTTCCACCGATGGTCACCAGGTTAGAAAAAACACTGAAGTCGGTCATGTTGGGGGGCCATGACTGTATGTTCAAGAAACCTAAAAAAGACAAGGGCAGTAAAAACACTCAGAATATCATTACCTTAGTAACTGTGTTTAATGCTGAGTATCCTTGAAATATGATGAAAATGTCTTGGAAGATAGGAGGTAAAAAAAAGACACTGAATATTCCTATTTCGAGTCATTCTATTCTGTCTCAGAGTTCTTCTTCCAAGATTGAGTGTCTCACCCAAAGTTCCTGGGGCACAATACTCAATAGATAATACCAAAGTAATGAACACCAAAAATCTAGGTTTCTCAGACACACAGAACCTTAGAACCATATATGTAAAAATAATTAAATGATCCTTAGTTTGATTCATTCTTCTAAAATCAAAACTACTTAGTCTAATTACATAAAGAGAAAAATATAGCTTTAATTTTTCTGGAAATCCTTTACTACTGTATCTCTACACTTATGACATCATTTGTCTGCCTTGCAGCCTAATGCATTCATATATATACCTAAACTTTCTCATTTGATTTTTCATTCTTCAATAGCAAATCCATATCCAAGTCATGTCTATGAGACCCTTATCAGCCACTATATAACAGCCCTGAACATATTAGGTGCTCAATAAATATGTGCCAAATGAGCGTCACATGTTATCCGTGCTCAACAGTACTTCTTGTGAAAAAGTACATAGAAAAACATGGATCAAAAGATCAGTTGACACAAAAACAAAAACATAAAAATGTTAACGATATTTTATTTTATAAATTCCATGGGCTTTCAAAATGTGCACAAATGCTAAGGAATAAAGACACCCATCATTTAAAATGACATGCATTTTTAAAACTAGAATTTGCTTTGAAAATAAGTTGCTGATTTCAATATTATGTAATATTTTCAGGAAAACACTAAAATTCACATAGTTCATAGGACAAAAAACGCACTTAAAAAAATTACCTGTTATCTCTCGAACTGTCCGGAAGACATTCAGTTTCTCTGGGTCTATGGCTTCAATTGCATTGTAAGGGTCCCTAGAGAATCAAGAAGAGATGCAGCCAAGTTTTAAGTCAGATAAAGTGAAAACATAAGACATGTTACTATAGTTAGTTCATTCAAATTGAATTTTAAGTAGCAATGGAAAGATTAGCAATGCCTTGTCCGAAGTTTGTTATGCTACATGTGAAGGAGAATTAAAAGGTGCTTTGAGGACATTTATGATGATATCAAATATGACTTCTTTGAAGGCTATTCTAATTCTAGAGGAATGGTCCAGTTTGACTATCCTAAAGAAACCTACAAACATGACAAGTCTATTTACAAATAATTTTATTTTATTTTGCCTTAAAATTTTTTTCTTTTTTTCTTTTTTTTTTTAAGATTTTATTTATTTATTTGACAGAGAGAGACACAGCGAGAGAGGGAACACAAGCGGGGGAGTGGGAGAGGGAGAAGCAGGCTTCCCGTGGAGCGGGGAGCCTGATGTGGGGCTCGATCCCAGGACCCTGGGATCATGACCTGAGCCGAAGGCAGGCGCTTAACAACTGAGCCACCCAGGCGCCCCAAATTTTTTTTCTTAATTGGGAAAAGTATACACTGCAAATAATTATGGTGAGAACAATTGCCTTTTGGGCTCCTCAAAGCATCCTGAAGTGCTAATAACACCTACAATTTCATAAGGTGGATAAAAACAAGCACATGAAATCATTTTTTCTTTTTTGCTATATCCTTACATTTATTAGTAAATTCTCATAACATTGTATGAAAGTTACTCTTCATAAGGATTATTTAGAGCAATCTTGTTCCTATCTGGTTTATTTATATTTGCTTTTATAGTGCAGGAAATATTCTTCCATCTTTATGAATCATACTAACATCTGAAACAAAATTTATAACAAACTTAATATCCAAAAGGTGTAATTTTTGGAGATTTAAAAAAATGTCATCTCCTAATGCATAAATATATTTTTGTAATTAATGTTATTGATATATAGATGCCCTATCTTCTCAAAAATGAACGTAAAGTACCTTTTAAAATTAAATATTTATTGGATTGTTTCAGAAGTTTTCTTCTTAGGAAGATACCTTTCATGTATAATATACTGACCATACCAAATAACTGCATACTTGCAAATAATACCAAACATTTCTCCGTAATCCAAGCAATATTTTCAGCTATTTTAAGGAATACCTTTCTTTTCTTTTAAGTTTTATTACTTTGAAAGATGACCTGTGCTATCCTGGGCAAATAGAGACCTCATATCAATATATACCCTATAGAGAAAAATTAAATACTATTCATTGACCACTTCTCCAAGAGAGAGCAAACCTAAGAACAATGAACTTGGGGTTTTTTTTAGAAGCATGTATCCATCCGTAGCAATCACCTGAGCTGTATTATTGCTGTGGACATCTGTTGTTTTACATCTTTGAGAACCTTCTTTTTCACTTGGGGAGTAAACAATAGGATACAGTGATTCATTAGATGTGGCCTTAATAGGGCTATCAATCAAGGTGTTCCACAGCCCCCTGACAAACAGAAAGGCATAAGGCCTATCTTCTAGGAATTTGAGTCTGAACCCATTGGCATTAATTCATCCTTGCTTTAGAACCTTGAAAACACTATTAGTTCCAACAACCTTAATCTTTGGAACTCCATTTTACTGGCTCTCTCAACTTGGTTTATCCGCATATGCTTCTATACAGTGAACCATCCTGTATCTTAAAAAATACAAAAAACAAAAAACAAAACAAAACAACAACAAAAACTCTGCTTGATCAAATACTGTTTCAATCTATGAAGTATAATCGATACAATGTACCACTAGTTTAACAGGGAGTGTTTTAGAAGGCTTGGAGAAACACTATAAATGAGTTTCCCCATAAGTCACATATAATTAAGATTTTCCTCAAAGTGATATGAATGTCTCTCAAAAGCTTAAAGTCCAAATTAAATGTTCTGGCAAACTTGCTCTATTTATAACTGATACATTGAATGAAATACTATGCTTTTGATGAACATGAAGCCAAGAAATTAAGTTCACCATGCGGGAAAAATCTTGTTGTTATCATTTTTTAATGTGCAAAGACTTTTGTATGCAGAGAAAATATCAGCTCTGCAGTAGTAGAATGAACTTTCAACATTTGTTGTTTGATGAAAAGCAGTGTATAGAACAGCTCTGGTCATATAATCAAATATCTTGGCTTTATTGAGAAACACTCACAATTCAGGGCAAGCACACAATAATAGGGTCAGTCTAAACCTTTACTGAGAACACTTCCAAGTTGTCAGGAATGAAATGAATTCTGGACTGTTCATATGAAGCCCAATGGACCACAGAAATTTTATATACTTAATTTTAGAGATTCAGGACTCTCATAAAATAAGTTGACAGAATCCTACTTACCAACTTCAAAGTACCTGCAGGGAGTTGCATTCTATAGCCACTTGAAATCCATAGTACTTTAAAATTGAGAACTTCCCTAGCTAAATACAGAGCCATGTGAAAGAACTTTATGTCCACCCTGTCATTGTGTTTGGTGATCCAAAATAAAGCTCAGGATAGAGAGAAACTTTTTATAATTCCGTTGAAATCGCTTTATTTTTCACCAAACCCATTATCTCTTTTCCATTGTATATCATCATTACACTCTCTTATCTAAGCACTTTCTTGTCTGTGTCTCACTGCGACACAGCATGAACATGCTTATTGGGTGAGCATTTTGTTACTCTAAGTACACGCACATGACCATTATCAAACATGAGAAGAGATGAAAGGTGAACATTCCTATGAATAACCCTGAACACAGGTTTGCCTGTGGTTCCCATTCTAAATAAAGAACTAAGAGTGCCTTCTGGCAATGACACCATTGTGCTATAAACTCAACATGACAATTAACTTTGTTGAGTTCTTTTATATACTAAAATTGTAATTGACAAATTTACAGTAAGTTTATTTTTTTGCAGAAACTTGTTTTTGAAAAGTATAATCTCATCTAATTATGAATTTTACCTATTAGGTTAAAGAAATACCTTAGCTATTTTACTCAAACCATACATCCTATTAAAAAATAGTAGAAGATCGAGGATAATAGGAATTAAGTGAAGTAAAACATGTCTTTAATTTACTAGAAGTTTTTTGCTTATAATACTTCATGCTACTCACATTTAAAATCTCTCTCCATACATGCATGAATTGTATACATGAAAACACATAATGCCTATGCATTTATAAGATGTCTTAGACTTACTGAATTAACTTTTTATCAAAACTTTCCTAAGATCAAGAGAAAGGCTTCAGAATATATATTTTATACTGGCATAAAATTGGGAATGAGAAATACCATATATAACATATATATTTGTCCTGGAAAATGCCTTATATATTATGGTTGAGACACAATAACATTAATTATAATGTTAGTATTAAAATATTCCAAGTTAGGTGCTATGATTAAGAAGAAATAATAATCTTCTGGACTAAGGAAGGAGTATGACTTATCATAAAGGAAATATTGCCATAAAAATAACTTTGCCTTTATTTGGTTTTCAGTAGTCTACAAAATAATACCTGTTAGACTGCATGTTGTGCTATAACTAGATATAGTCATTGAGATTTTTCTTTAGCACTTCCTCCTCCTTCTTTGCTTTTTTTTATTCGCTCTCTCCCTTTTTTCTCTCCCTCCTTTTTTCCCCCTGCCTCTTTTTTTTTTTTTTGTACCATTTATTAATGTTTTACAATATGCCAGGTACTTGGCTGAGCACTTAAAAATTATTTTTGTTTTTAATCCCTATAATAATCACAGAAGGTAGATATTTATTATAAACCCAATTCTTAACTTTACACTGGAAGAAACTGAGCATTTGACATGTAATGGAAATTGTCTATGTCAGAGCCTCAAATCAAACTCTAGTATAGTTTGGATCAAATTACTGAAGTAGGAACTTTAACTCTTACTTTCTGAGCTCATGTTTAAGAGAGGCTTTGTTTACCTTTCTGTTTCTAATCATCTGAGTCAATTTTCTATAATTCATTGCCACCTGGATGAATTGGCAATGTTGTTTTCCTTGAAAGTCTGGATTAATCTAATACTTTGTAATGATTCTTCTCATAAATTTGTGAAAATATGGTATCTATTGTGCAATGTATTATTATATCTTGACATATCTGCTTCCCTTTTTTGCATTTATTTATTGATATTTCCTCTATTCTGGACATTAGGTGATTCAGAATATGTAAAACCATTTTACAATTAGTATAAATCCTGACTTTTGATAAATATGCTCCATAAGGAACCAAGACTAAAATAAGAATTCTGAACTGCACTCTTGATCGTCTTTGTCAAACTTCCCCACCCATGGTTTACCTACAAGATTAACCGTCAGTGGGTTGCTTTTGTTGGTTCATAATCCTTCTACTATCACAGAATTCTTGCAGTGGTTCTCAATGGGGGCAGTATTACCCCACTAAGGGGAAGCTGGGATATTTGTAGAGGCATGTCTGTTGTAACAGAGATTGGGGGACATTATAGGCTTTTAGTAATAACCCCAAGCCAAGAAAATTAAATGTCTTTCCCAGCAAAGGTTTGCCTCATGTCTTGAACAACCTTAAATGTTCCATCCAATTAAGGACCCATGTGCACAAACTTCATAGTTGATCATACCATGACTGTGTGTAATTCTGCAGTCAGGTTGCCTCTATTTGAATGATTTATTTCTGTCTTCCTCTTGTCATATAACAATATGTCTGTTACTTATTTCCTATTCCAGTGGTCAGCCATTCCTCTACTCTTTATTTCCCCATACTTCTTGCACAGAATAACTTCTAATCTTACGTCTCACAAATCTAAACTTTCATTATAAGTAGGTAGAAGCTGAGCATTTTCCTATCAATACATATTTTATTATCCATTAATTTTCTTGTATTTTTTCTTTAAGTTATAAGTAGAGAATTAGAATCACATTATAAAATTATGTATATAGGTAGGCTATATTACCTATGATTTTTATTTCATAATTCAAAAGGAAGTATGAATACACAACTTATAAAAGATGGATGTTGGGTCTGATTAGAATGAAAACAACTTCTCTAATGCAATTTATGAGACTATGTTTTCAAACCTTTCCCCACACTGATGGACTTGAGGCCAATTCATTTATTATACCCATGTGGAAGCAGGCAATGTGAATTAAGTGGGTATGTCTTCCTATTTCTCAGAAGATGCTGTTAACATGATATGATCTTTCATTCATGGTGGTATTTGGTTTTGAAAATAGTTACAGTGTGGATATATTGTTTTAGTAAATGTCATATATGCATTCGATTATATAGATGCACCTAATGTTGACCCAGGTCTCCTACCATTTGGGGCCAAGGAGGTGAGAACAGCAATGCAAATAGATTTAGAGGGTTAGTAGTGACTCTGGTAAATTTGGTTGTCCTATCTCAAAATGGCTAGAAGTTCCTGGCTCCAAAAGATTGTTGCCATGTAGGCGTATGTGCTAAGGGTAACCAAATCTACATATTTTTAAAGAGAAGTTAGACATCTTGACCATATATTTATTTTTTAAGCACTGCTTGGGCGGAATAAAACAGATCTGGGGCAGAAAGTGTGTACACACCATTATAGTATCTGGCATGAACCCCTATTAAAAGCTACATTTTAAAGTAAAGAAATGCTTTATGCAATAAGACCTACTGTAATTTATTTGCATGGAAAGAAACACTTTGTTCTATTTCTCTTGCTGTTCCTATTTGGACATATTTATTCATAATGTGTTAAATTATTTTGCTTCTAGAAATGATGTGATATATGTTTCAAGTTAGGATTTTGAATTGAAATATGTGAGTAATATTCTTTATCTGTAGCCTGTAGCACTAATATTTAGGGATTAAGAGTAATATAGATAAACAGATAAATATAAAGTAAAAATATAGACATTTTTATTACAATTGAAAGAATACGAACTTGGCTGTTTTCCCAGTTAAAACCAGCAGGTGGTTCTGTAATGAAGGAACCCAGAAAATGTTACAATTTTTATTGCTAATATGAAATTCATTTATTAGATCTCCTATATTAGTACTAATTTCCTAACCTAACTAAAAGAGGAAAAGATAGATACATCAGGCCAAAGAAAATTTCTGAAAGCTCAAGAGAATTTCAACTTACTGATTTGTTCTCTACGAGATACATTTTAAAAGGAATATTAATTTATGTTTTCCTGAACTAATCAGTTAGGAATTTGAATCAAATTCCTCACTTCACATTGACACGGTTTCCCTAAACATATCTAAAAATATGTCAAGCTTTCTGAAATCTGTGGATTTGAGGATATCCCACAAATACATTTTAGTTTATATATGAATTTATATTGTCACATCTAAGTAGTCACTAAACCCATAGTCTATGTATCTCAAAACTGTGGTTTTTATTATCGTTGCTGGTAAAATCTGCCATTTGATTTTGTTGGAGAAGAGCGTTAACGAAGGGCAGAACTCATCTAGGTCAAAAGGAATCAGACAGACACAGCTAAAGAATCTCTTAAGCTTTGTCTATACTTCGTAAAATAATTTTCTACAAAAATTTCATACTGACCCATGAATACCGGTGACAAGGAAGATCAAATTCCCATTGATTTTGGTGCAGTTTATGAATTTGTCAATGTTACTGGAATCCACAGTCTGAGCTGACATCAGTGATCCTGTGCCAATACCGTCACAAGCTGTAGAAATAAGACTCCAAGTCAGGGTGTTGAGAAACTTCTTTTCCAGTCAATAAATTATTGCATTTTTATTATAAAATAATAGTATTTTTTCATTATAAAAATGAAAAGAATTCATCATAAGAAATGAACAGTTTTCTAACAAATAAAATAATACTTTATTCGTGCAACATTAACTGCTGGGCCTGCTTTAAAATATTTTCCCTGCATGATCGCCTAGTGACCATGACGCATAAAAATCATATCTTATACCAAGTCCCAGGATACCCACACAACACATACGTAACTAAAACAAAACTTACAACAATCAGTACTTGCCTTTGCCACATAAAATCGACTATTTTCTCATCCACCCTAAAATATCATTTTCAAGACTTTTAAATCCCGGTCACTTGAGTAAAATCATTTCATAGTCTAATGATGGTCTACAAACTATGGTTTTAAAAACATTGTTCTGGGTGCCTGGGTGGCTCAGTTGGTTAAGCGACTGTCTTCGGCTCAGGTCATGATCCTGGAGTCCCGGGATCGAGACCCATGTCGGGCTCCCTGCTCAGCAGGGAGTCTGCCTCTCTCTCTGACCCTCCCCCCTCTCATGCTCTCTATCTCATTCTCTCTCTCAAATAAATAAATAAAATCTTAAAAAAAAAAAAAACATTGTTCTAATTAAGAATATATATTAAACAAACTACTAATGATGTGAGTTGTAACCAGAATCAAGAGCCATTTAAGTATAAATACTTTTTTTTTTTTAAGATTTTATTTATTTATTTGAACAGGGAGGGGGTGGGGTGGGTAGGTTAGGCAGCATGAGCCGGCGGGGGGGGCGGTCAGAGGGAGAGGAAGAGGGAGAAGCAGACTCCCTTCTGAGCACAGAGTCCAATGTAGGGCTTGATCCCAGGACTCCTGAGATCATGACCTGAGCCTAAGGCAGACGCTTAACCAACTGAGCCACCCAGGAGCCCTCATACTTAAATTCTTAAATTGAGTATTACCTGTACTTTTTGAAGGCTCTACTCAAAAATAAAACAAGGCAAATAAAATGTGTGGGGGTGGAGGGGAGAGAGAGAAAGAGGAAAGAGAAAGAGAATGTAGTCTAAAAATAAGTCTGAAGTTTGCCCTTTTTAAAGGCAACCTTTGATACTTTGGAAGGCTTAATATCATTCAGAAAATTTGGATTGTACTTTCATCCTGCTTAATTTAAGTTTCGTTTGGGTGAGGAATTTGAGCACCACAGCTAGAAGGGATTTCTTTCTCTACTAAAATTCTAAAATAGGAATTATCTGCAAAATTTATTTAATACTGACAGTAAATTTCCTTGTCATTTTATATATCTAATCTTTCAAAATAGTTTCGAAGACCTGGAGGGTAAATATCATATTTGTCTCTTTGCACCTTCATATGCATAGCAGATCATTTAGTATAGGGTGGCAAGCAATTAATATGGGTTCTTAATGCTAAAATAATCATGCAATCCCTTGTTATATGCATACCTTCTAAGATTTGCTGCATATAGAATAAAATGTAACTTTTTTTCTGAATTTCTATCAAAGTTAACTCCCAGTTTAACCTGGATCATTTAGTTTACATCATTCAAAATCAATAATACACACTGCTAAGACAGTCGATACTTTGGGGAACTATTCAAAGTTATGGAAAAGTATGTGTGTGTTCAGAGAGATGAACTCTGCCAGTCCATTAAAAAGTAAATGGAAAAACCTTGGAGTAGGTCCCTGTTCTAGCCAAAATAATTTCAACTATCACTCACCTTTTGGGCAAATATCCGTGCAAGGTTTACACATTTTAATCCCATTTTCTTCTACTTCCATCTTGGAACTAGGGCAGGCACGCACACAAGAACTGGAATCCACCACAAAGTTATCTGATTTGAAAAAAAAAGGTGAAATTAGCAATGTTGATGGTCAGCAAACAATGGGCTTGACAATGATTAGCATCATTGATAGTATACATGTCTGTCTCTTTCCCTAAAACAACTCTGTTTAAATATCTCAACCTGAAATAGAATCTACGAACATCCACATCTAATCCAAGGGCAGCGTGTGTTAACAACAGTTAGTCCCTGCTTGACTATAGCTCCGCATCCTGAATTGCCCCCAAGATAGAGTGAATTTCTTTTATAGACTTAGGAAACTATATGACATTTAGTTTGTGTTTTTCAATAGTTCCACTTCATTTCATGTCATGATGCAAGTCTGAAGTCTAAAAATACTTCAAGTTACACGAAGCACAAATGAAGCTGACGTTGAATTGCCTTGGATCCAGAGAGGCACTTCATATCCAGGAGGAAATGTTTAAAATGTGTTCTATCTTTCAGTGGAAAGCCATAGAAACTGTTCCATAGTTTTATACGAAGAAACAAAATGGAATTTGAAAGGCAGCACTTTAGGAAAGGTATGCTACATAAATCAGGAATGTCTGATTACCTGATACGTTGGTGAAATATTTATGGCTCCAGTGATCTGAAATATGCCAGGACATTGCCTGCCCCCCCAAAAAGAACCCAGATAATTGTGTCTAGAGCCTCTCACAGTAAAGGGAAAACACAATGCCTGCTAGGCCACTTTATATATATATAATTAAGATTTTTTTTTTAATTTACTTATTCAACAGAGAGAGATAGTAAGAGAGGGAACACAAGCACAGAGGAGTTGGAAAAGGAGAAGCAGGCTCCCCACTGAGCAGGGAGCCTGACATGGGCCTCGATCCCAGGACACCAGGATTATGACCTGAGCCGAAGGCAGACACCCATCGACTGAGCCACCCAGGCACCGCAAGGCCACTTTATATTTTAAAGGCAGTATCTTCCCTGCCAGGGCATACTGCTTCTGGCCTAATATTCAGTGGTATGGAAGGCTTCTGGCCTTGAAGGGGTCTCAGATCAGGAAAGGCATATGGTACAGAGATGTAAGTCTGGGATGTAAGTATTTCTGCTACTTGGGTCACAAAATCCAAGAGGTGGGGCGCTTGGGTGGCTCAGTTGGTTAAGCTTCCAACTCTTGGTTTTGCCTCAGGTCATGATCTTGGGGTCCTGGGATCCAGCCCTGAGTCGGGCTCCCATGCTCAGAGTGGAGTCTGTTTGAGATTTTTTCCCCTCACTCTCCCTCCCTCTCTGCTCCTCCGCGCTCACACTCTCTTTCTCTCTCTTAAACAAACAAACAAACCCAAGAGGCTATATGATCTTAGGAGTGTCTATGGTAGGAAATATGCCATCTGGAGTTATGGCAAGTCCCAGCTGGAAAATCATATCAGAGACCTCTAGGATTCTAGAGCTAATCCATGCCATCTGCAGCATAGAATTATACACCTTTTAATAAACAGCTCCTTAGATGTTTCTGGGTCCTGATAGAGACAGAGCACCTAACCATGGGTCATTGATTGATCTTATAGTCAGAACTGCCCAGCATACATCAGGTTTTATTTGAACCATGATGTCATAATGTTGGGCAGGTCCAACAGGAATCCACTGTTAAGATGGAAGCAATGCATTTAAGACTGGATATGAGTCTGGGCAGAGGCACAAGTAAACTGCGTAAGCAGATAGCCCAGCCTCCTTGTGCTGGTACCTCTCACTCGGCTCATACCTGTGGCTTCATGGGGACCAAGAGAGGGCACTTGTGACAAGCTAACAGAGGGAGGACAAAAACTAAGTTTGGTATGTGGGCGCAAGCAGCTCAAAATGAACGGCAGCTGCCCTGCAGCCTCACTGAGGAGGGGACTAGAAAGATGGTAACGAGGAAAAAAATCCTACCAGTGGCCATGGTTCTGGGTAGTTCAAATGATCGTTTACTTTGTATGAAAGTGACCTGCGCTTAGAATAAATGTAGATTCATGAGCAGTGGCTTGCCCTGGAGGAAGAAATATTGGAAAATCTGGGATTGAAGGGAGTCTGGGGTAGAGGGATGTGTATGGATTCTTCGGAGTGGGCACAGTGTGATCATTATATTCCCAGCTATCCACCAGGGGGCATCCACCACAAAAAAGGTACATTGCGGAGACTGCATCACAGCCTGTTCCCTTCCTGTTCTTCCTCCTTCCTGTCTTCATTCTGAGAATACTCCTCCTTAACAACCTAATCTCTGCCTGAGAGGAACTCAACCTGTAACAAGTGAATGTACTGTATACTATGTAACCATCCCTTCAGCAAGGTCTTCACAAGAATACCCCATATTTAAACACGTCTGCATTTTCGCAGCAATATATGCCAAATGGAGTAAATACAAATTATAAAGACCCTCGTATCAGTTAGATTCACATTTTGCAGCCAAATGAGTTTCAAAAAATATTTGTCTGAAGTTTTCGAATTTTAGAATTCAAGATTAAGGATTGTAGAGCAGTATTTAGGAGCTAAATGTCTTTGTTTTTCCAAGATATTTGCAGTTTAACAAACCATGCCTTATGAGCAGGGCCCTTCAAATATTTGAAATTTACATATATAAATACCGAAGTGTTTTAAATTAGCCTGTAATTTGTTGACCTAAACTATTCTAAGAAAGGAAATTTAGGAGTTACCATATCTAAGGAAACTGGGTGTGTAATTTCACAAAATAGTTCTCAGTGTTTAGCCACTTGCCACAAGTTAGGTGTTGAAAGCTTGTATGCATAATTATTCTTTTAACTAATATAAAAATATTTAATAATAATGACTAAAGTTGTCATTGTTTCCAAAGACTTGTTTTTATATGCTATCCCTCTGATTCTTACTCCCCATCCTTTTGATCATTATAATAACTCTGGGAGAGAAGAGAGCTATGATTATTACCAGCCACATCTTAAAGAGGAGAATACAGAAAACTAAATAGTTCATTTAAAATCACATGAGTAATATGTGGGCAAAACCAGAACCCACAGCCACTCTAATCCCATGTCCTTTATTCTTCTTACTCAATCACAGGCACAAAATGAAGAAAACCATAATAGTGGTATGCTGTAGCTTGTAAAACCTTCTTCTTTTAAATGAATATATGGACAAATGTAGTGATTTTTTTTTCCAGCTTTTCCAGTAGATAAAACAATGAAGAAATAATGTCCCATCACTTATTTCAAGCAAAGAAACTGACTGAAGCAAATATGAAGACATATATTTACTGAATTATTGATGAAAGCTAAACTGGTTACTTTGACTCCTCAGGATGAGTTGTCAATTTTGTAAAGACCTCTAAACATGCCCTTCACATCTACTGTTATTGTTTAAGATTAGATTTGATATTAAAACTATAGTTCTATACATTCTATTATAAATAAGTAATCAGAAAAGATATTAGGTAAGAATTCATTGTGATTAGAAGCAGACCTCATTCAGTACAAAGCTTGCTTCTACTTAACTAATCACTTTTCTGAGAAACAGCAGCATGTACAAAAACACTGACGAATAGCGAAAACAGTAAGTTTAGAAGGCAATGACAGTACACTCTAACCTCAAACATGCCACTCCTTCGCTGAGACTTTGGACCAATCCCTTTAATTTTTTGAATTGCAACTTCCTTATTAGTGAAATGGTTAGCAACAGTACCTATATCCAAGTAATTCACAATATTGTTGCAAATTTTAAATTATAATAAATGTATATGATTTTGTGGGTGTGTTTTTAAATGATGATCTAATTAATTTGGTTATTCTTATCTTGTTACTTACGTGGGCATTTCTTGACACAAAATGCTCCATATGTATACTTTGCATTGAAGTTATGCTCCAGTTGAAAGGTGGTCGGATTGTAGACAAAAGTCTGGGGACACTGAGTAACACATGCTCCGCTGTCATTGAAATTCATGCAGGCCTACAACATAGCAAATATTAATTTCATTTAAGAATAGCCTTCATAATACTCGTTAAAGGAACCCTGCTCTAATACCTTTGTGAGAAGGATGTGTTCTTTACTTATTATATGTATATTTATATAAAACATATGTGTATGTTCTATTCTTTTATTTCATAAAAAGTATAAAGCTTGACAGCTTTATAGTAAGTACTTATTTTTAAGTTCAAATTTGTTTTGAACATCGAAAATTTTACAAAACTGTTTTCCAATGTCAATGAATATACAATCTATACAAAGATATTGATATTCAAGTTACCTATTCTCTATCCAGTAATCTCCAAACTAATAATTGATCTAAATTATTAAAATTAGCTAATAGTGAAAAATTATTTCAACTCACAGTATTCAAAGGATTTATGTTGAGTCTTAGAGACTGGTACTAACAACTAACTCCCCAAGTCTACAGTCTAGACTTTTCTTAAAGCTGGTGTTTGGAAAAGTTCAGTGCCGTAGGTGACATGGTAAGCACATCCATCGCCGTTGTACAGCGAGAAAACATTGTGATAGCTATTTAAACTGGACTTGAATAAAAGGCTCTGGCAGGTGACTAGTCAAGTGTAAATATGGAGTATGTAATGCCAAAATGAAGAGAAGCAGTCTATACTTAGCTCACAATTAAATCATATGCTGCCATTTCCTATATGGTCTTTTTCATAATGCCACACCATTCAGTGAAAGCCATCAAGTTCAAACAAAACAATTTGTTTCTGCTGACTTATATATTTGTATTGAGACCTCAATTTGTTAATTTGTTCAAATGCATTTGAGAAGAATTAAAAACAATTTTACCACCTGAGAGGTATTTGGTATAAAAATAGAATGTATGTCTAAGTACATAAAGCATGACTTTCAAAAGAGTGGATGAACTAATTCTCTTAATTAAACAACTTAAACCTTCATAGGAATAATTGAGGCCTTGGAAAGTAAGCTAATATGCACTCAAGCTATATTTTATATTTCATCATAAACTGTATGTATGGTTATTAATAAGAACTAATTCATTCTGTTTCCTCAAAACATTTTCTTCATCAATTGTTGTTTTAGCAAGCACTTTATCACCAACATGACAATTCCCTGATGATGGTCTACTAGATGCATAATCAGAACAAGACTCACTCATGATACATTATTCACCAAGATGACATTTTCCAGGAAGAATCTATTAAAAAGCGATCTACAAAACTCAGTAAGTTTTAATTTATGGCTATAAAACTTCATGTGTCCTCATAATTCCTTTATGAACATACTTTATGCAGGGTTGTGCACAGATTGCTTGGCAACAAAGGGACATAAACGAAAGGAATCAAACAAATTTACCTTCCAGACAGCATGCAAAACAACGTTACTTACACCAAGGCCTCGGTCTGGCATTCTTGAACATTCTGTACCAAATGCCAAAGTGGAGTCATTGGACCATCCCATAAAAGTAATGAAATGAGGATTCCGAGACTCACCCAGCACTCTGTTCATTATGATAATGGAACCATGAAAACAAATGCAATGAAGAACTTCTAAGTAAAAGTTATGGCTATTGTTGGTGTTTCTTGTTACTGTTTTGGAATTGTTAACACCTGCTCAGCGTCCTCTACATCAAGCTTTACCTCGTGCCTGGTGATAGGCAAGGGAAAAGGTCTCACTTCAAGGCCTCCTAAATCATCTGCCTTAAATTTTTAACATGTTTCTTTTCTACTTCACTACTCACTTCTGCAATGTATACTTTTGTTTCACTGTAGGATTAGGGTCAACAAATTAAGTTTCTTGTGACGTTAAGAAAACTAAGAAATTATCTATGTCATAAGAGTTTTAATTTATGTTTTGCTTATTTTCAGAGTTAAGTGTCAATTTGAAAAAATATTCAGTTCTAAATATATATGTGTATTCTCTGGATATCTGAAAATGGGAAAAAAGAAAATGAATTTCTGTGTTCATTTTTAACAGCAAAAACAATTTCTTATTTTATGATTTTTAGCTTAAAATGAAAATAATGTCTGTATATGAAATTGTGTTAACTATAGCTCACAGAACTGGTTGTATTCAAAAGAACAGAAAGAACTGTATCGGGGATATTAAAATGTAATTAAAACATGTTCCCAATGAGCTATAAATGTTAATTTTAAGAAAAGAAAAGTGTCCTTTTCTAAAATAAAAATCACACAGATTAGCATATAAATTGCTTTAAGCATACATTGGTAAATCTTATAAAGTATGAATAATATTAACTTATAAACAAAATAAACTGGGAAATAGTTAAATTTATGAATAATCTTGAAATCTATGGCTATAACCTTAAAATTTAAATCCAAGAAATGAAATTCAAGAGCCCCCACTCAGAAAACTCAATTATGCAACAACATAAACAGGTAATCAATGTAAATTTTGGAAGGATGCTATTAGCTTTAAAAAAGATATCTCAATATGTTCCTCTTCACATTCTCTAATACATCTCATCTGTATTGTAAATGACATCAGAAAGACATAATTCATATACTAAAACAGAATAATCCTAGTCAACCAATAGCCACCCAGTGAGGGAATGAATTATAGGAAGGCAGAGCATCTTTCTTAATCCTAAAATGGTTAAACTTGATCTTATTTTAATGTTAAAGAGTCAATGTGCCTGAGTCCAGCCAGGAAGGAGGGAGATGGGAAAAGTAGAAAGGAAGCTCCAAGACTTACAAAGCAGTCTGTGTCCTTCGGTCCTGAGCAGCCCCCAGCACATTCTCTATGACAACAGTCACTGACATAGGGCCCATAGCACCTGCCATCACACTGTTCTGCACACACCGTCCTTGTCACTGTGGAAGACAGAGATGGGACCCTGATCAAAGTCAGTCACCAAGAGAAACTTCTAAGGTGCTTTGGAGTAGCTGAAAAAAGCTGAGCTCTCAGATAACAATACTCAACCCACCGTGGATTCAGTTCAGCTAACGTTTACTAAATGAAGTCTGCAACAGGTCAAAATCACTGTACAAAAACCTTCAAAATTAATACATACACTTGTGTTTATTTTCTTTCTTGTTCCAGCAAACACTTACAATGTTTTACAAAACAATCACACAACTTAGCAGGAAAGAATCAAATTTGAAATAATTGAATGAGGCATTTTGGCAGGTTGCAAAAGATGCAGTTGGCAGTAAAGTCTATCCACAAGGTGCACAGCAAGGTTTTATGACAGAAGATATCCCCGGAAATAATCTAAGCCTTTTAGAGTCAATGCAAAAAGGGAAACAAACTTTTACATGATTCACATTATATCTTACATGATTCATATCAAGCAGATAGATAAATATAGATAGAGATACAGATACATGTATAGATAACTGGTCAGGAGTAGCATAACTGTTTCTTTTCTTGAGATTTAAGTGAGATTTTTACCAAGTTTCCTGTGTAAGGAAGAGAGGAACATCCTCAAAAGAAGGAAAGAAGGAAGCGAGGGAGGGAGGGAGGGAGGATGGGACGTGGCAGAGAGAGACACATTCATAGTAGATGCAACACAAATTTCCATTAGTCTTTTCTTATAACGTCCTTTGATCCAAGCTGACAGCACTATATTAGGGTATACTTTAGTAAAAGTCGGTGCTAGAGGCTGGGCATCAAAATTACACCTTTGAGGGACACTTATTCCACTTATTCCAAAGATATTTTTATTTTATTTTTATTTTTTTTTAAAGATTTTATTTATTTGAGAGAGAATGAGAGACAGAGAGCATGAGGGGGAGGAGGGTCAGAGGGAGAAGCAGACTCCCTGCTGAGCAGGGAGCCCGATGCGGAACTCGATCCCGGGACTCCAGGATCATGACCTGAGCCGAAGGCAGTCGCCCAACCAACTGAGCCACCCAGGCACCCCCAAAGAGATATTTTTAAAGCATTTAGAGAAATGAATGTTACAGAAGATGTATAGCACATCACATCTTGGCTTCTGTATTTCCACTTCAGTCTGATCTCCTTCCATCTTTCGGACTCATTCTTCAAAGCTTCCTTCATGGCTACTATAGCAGCATCTGTCCTTCAAACGACAGCATTCCCCAGAGTTGGTCTTGTCAATTTCTTTGGGTTATGGGCTCATGCCTAGATGAAATCATCCATCCCCTTTGCATACTACCTATAGGTAGATGACATCAGATCCAAATCTGAATTTTGTCTTGAGCAGAGGCATGTATTACCAGCTGCCTACAGAAGACCCCACTTAGATATCCCAAGATGTATAATAAGGAACGTAACTCACTTTCCCATCTCTACCAATCAGGCATATCTCTCTTCTTTGTTCCCTTCTCTTGGTTATTGGTAGCACCATCCACTCAGTAGCTTAGCTAAAGATTGGGGACGTGTTTTCTCTTTCTCCTTTCCCCTCACCCTCGCTTCTCATAGCTAATAAAATTATCAAATAAAATTGCCAAGTAATATTCCTCATTACCGTCCCACCCCTCTACTCCAACTTTGTTTGTGAAAGTAATGTCTAAATGATGACATAACCTTCTAATTTCTCAGATCCCAATTAATCCTCCATGCTGCTCTAAAAGCAATGACTTGAAAATACAAGCCGCCGCCTATAAATCAGTGCTGTTTTGCAAATAAAACTTGTCATCCCTGTACTAAAGGAGTAAACCCTGAGCAAGGGATAAAAGTCCTTCATCAATTAAACCATCTCTATCTTTACTAGCATTTCTCATTGTGCTTCTCACATCCAACAACACACAATCACCACTTGTGATTCCTGATTTCTTGTATCATTTCCAATTTTGATTCTCATTGCCTTTTTATAATGCTTTCCTCCATGCTAAAAACCCTTCCGGTCTTCTTTGCCTAGCAAATACTCATCTATAAGATCCAGTTCAGATGTCACTTTCTTTCTGAAAACTCCAGATATAGCTCCAGGATGAGTTAGTTTATCACTGTTTCTTCTGAACAAGGGAGAAAGTTAATGCAGATTCCACGTGGTCTGAAGGTCTAGGCTCAAACCCAAACTCTATTCTTGTGATATGGGCAAGTTATTGAATATCTCTGTATTTCACTTTACCAGCTTTAAGATGGATTTGGTATTAGTACCTATCTAATGGGACTGAAGATAAACAGAGGTATAGGTATAAAGTGCTTAACATGGCCCCTGTTAATAGTGGTCAGTAACTGTTGCATATTATTATTTCACTTATCATAATACATTGTATCTTTTTTTTTTAAAGATTTTATTTATTTATTTGAGACAGAGAGAATGAGATACAGAGAGCATGAGAGGGAGGAGGGTCAGAGGGAGAAGCAGACTCCCTGCCGAGCAGGGAGCCTGATGCGGGACTCGATCCCGGGACTCCAGGATCATGACCTGAGCCGAAGGCAGTCGCTTAACCAACTGAGCCACCCAGGCGCCCTGTATCTTTTTTTATTTTTATGTTTGCTCCCCCTACTAAACTATTAGAGTAGTTTTTTGAAGTCCATTGTCTTATTCATGTTTTTATCCTTGGTGACTGGTAGTGTTTGGCATTCAGTATATAAGAAAGTAAGTATCCTCTCCAACTAAATAAATCATATATTGCCAATTCAATGAAAGTTACTTGTTGACTGACTAACGCACATATCAAAGAAAAAAAATATGCAGGGGTACCTGAGTGGCACAGTTGGTTAAACATCCAACTCTTGGTTTCAGCTTAAGTCGTGATCTCAGAGTCATGAGATCTCAGTGTGGAGTCTGCTTAAGACTTTTCTCTCCCTCGCCCTCAGCCCTTCCCCACTATGCTTGCTCTCTTTCTCTCTCTCTAAAGTAAATAAAAATAAATATAAAAAAATGCAGAGTTAAAGACGTAGGGCACTAAAAAAGGTAAATAGACAAATATTAAAATACCAAGAAACAGAGCATATCAAAATCCAAATAACAGAATTATTGTTAGTGTCTACTACTAGATTTAAATGCTCCTTAAAGGGGTGCCTGGGTGGCTCAGTTGATTGAGTGACTGCCTTCGGCTCAGGTCATGATCCTGGGGTCCTGGGATCGAGCCCCACATCGGGCTCCCTGCTCAGCGGGAGGCCTGCTTCTCCCTCTCCCACTCCCCCTACTTGTGTTCCCCCTCACGCTGTCTCTCTCTCTCTCTGTCAATTAAATAAATAAATAAAATCTCTAAAAATAAATAAATAAATAAATAAATGCTCCTTAAATTCTGCTATCGATTGCTTCATGATTCCATATTTTCACTTGGATCCTTTTTAATTGAACATGATTGTGATATTCATAAAATAGTGCATAATGTTTAAATATGAACTATATTCTTCTATTGGACATGATTATATTCCTACCTATGTAGTGCAATCAATACAAACATCAAATAGAGTTTAAGCAAAAACACTTGGACTCACTCTCTGTCTTGTTTTTATTTTGTAAAAATAAAGTTATATGATACTTCTTATCTTATAGAAGATTTTGAAAAAGACAAAATTTAAGTCTGGATTTGTGAGTGCATTTTTTTTTAAGATTTTATTTATGTATTTGAGAGAGAGAGGAGGGAGAGGAAGAGAATCTGAAGCAGACTCTGAGCTGAGCACAGAGCCATTTGGGGCTTGATCCCATGATCAAGAGATAATGACCAAGAGTCAGATGCTTAATGGACTGAGCCACCCTGGTGCCCCGTCAGGGCATATTTTGTATTTGCAATTTGGGTAACATTAAATTTTGAAAAATTTCTTTTGTATTTTAATAGAAATTTCTACATAGGGGGCACCTGGGTGGTTCCTTTCATTAAATATCTGGCTCTTGATTTCGGCTTAAGTCATGAACTCAGGGTCTTGGGATCAAGACTTGGGCTACCACTTATTGGGGAGTCTCCTTGAGATTCTCTCCCTCTCCTTCTGCCCCTCCCCAGGTGCATATACATTCGTACTTGCGCTCTTTCTCTCTCTCAAATAAATAAATACATCTTTTTTTTTTTTTAAGAAATTTCTACATAGTAAATCAATTTGGTCTGTTCATTTACCTTCTTTCGGTTTTTGCTCAAATCTCATTTTCCCAGTGAAGTCAACTCCTGTTTAATCCTGAATCCTTTCCAAACTACTGATTCTTGATGAACCCTCCTTTTTTTTCTTTCTTTAACTTTCTCTCTCTCTCTTCCTCCCTCCCCTTCCTTCCTTCCTTTCATCTTCCTTTCTTACTCCATTTTACAGCTCACTTATTACACAGTGTGTTTGTTGGTGTATTCCAAAGTCTAGAACTGTACCTGTCACCATGTAATTTTAATTTTATTTTATATACATTATATATACACAGTACATATATATATATATATATATATACACTATATATATGAAATATACCCAAATTATATCCACTCTTTAACTCTTCATATTCCTACATTGGGCTTACATTGATATTCCTATCTTTTATCAAGTAGTATATTTATTTAGATATTCTACTTAGTAATTCATACTATAAAAAGGAAACACTTTTAATAGACACTTTTGTAAAAAAATAGATCATATATATTTCCTCTCTTCCAGATTTAACAAGGCTTTTTTGATGTGCCAAAGTTGCTAATTGAAACAGCAGACATATGTTAAGTAAACAAATTACTAGATTTGAAATAAGTGTTATCATAGAACAGTCTATTTACCGGCTCTAAGTTGACAGGCTTTGCTCAGCCGGAAATAGCACAAAGTAAGCATTAATAGCTTATAAGTCACACCATATTTTAATCTTAGACACATATGTCTAAGTGTTCATTTCTATTTTTAACTCTATGGTGGTTCAAGGTACTATACAAAATGTTTCGGTTTCTCTTCATTTATATACTTTGGTCTTTCCTATCAAATTAGAAAA